TCCCCCGGATGGATAAAGGGCCTCTTTTGGTCACTCCCTGCCTTCTTCTTCCCAGCCCGACTCCACTTGTCATGCCTGCCCCTGCTGATGTCATGCCTTCCTTTGCTGATGCAGAGAAGACTGACCAAGATATACCAAAAGTCTGACGCAGGAAAAGGCATCTCCATATGTGCATCTGGTATAACACGTAGCTCAACCAGGTACATCTGCCCTTATTAATCAGGGACAATACTTTATTCACGGTACCTGAGGACAACATCTCACTGCCTCTATCTGGGCGTGATTTCTAAAGGTGCTGAACAGTAAACATCACTGAAAGTGTTTGAATTGCGATGTGCTTAAATTTTAGTTAGCTTAGGAGCAGCCTGACCTGGAGAGCTTAGGCTAGCCTGATCTCATCAGGTATCGGAAGTAAAGCAGGGCTGGCCCTGGCAAACATTTGGGTGGGAGACCTCCAAGGAACACCAGAGTTCTGACATGGAGGCAGGCGATGGCAAACCACCTCTGACCGTGGTTTGCCTTGAAAACCCCACAGTTGTGACTTGACCACATGTTCCACCACCAGGAACATGCAAGGAAGGTAAACATGTCACCGTTTGCTCTTTAAAGTTGCAGCTCGCCGACAGCCAATTTAAAAAGACAAAACTAACTCCAAGATTTTTTTAACTGTAACTACAGAAAGAAAGAAAAACCTCCCCCAAACCACTATTCTCCTAAATTCACATTCAGTACCTTTTTCAATCTGATTCCAAGAGATGAGAGTTTCCAAAAACGTCAGAAAAAGCCCCCTCCCCAAAACGGGAAACACTTTAGAAATAAAATACATTCTTCTTAAATTACTGGGCCCTGTGGGCTTAGAAAGACACAACTCACCTTTGGAAGGTACTGTGACTATCACTGCATATGAATGACCAAAGAGAAAAAAACTGTTAATATACTAATGTATTATCTTCTCCCCCCTCTAAATTCATAAGACTCTGAATCCAAAGAAAGACTATGGCACAGTACTAAATATTAACCACAACAGTATTAATCACCAAAGAGTGATTAACACATGGAATTCACTGGCACAGGAGGTGGTGGTGGCCACAAGCATGGACAGCTTCAAGAGGGAATTAGATAAATATATGAAGCAGAGGTCCATCAGTGGCTCTTAGCCACAAGGTATAGATAGGAACTCTCAGTCTGGGACAAGGGATGGTCTGTATTCCTGGTGCTGGGGGGGTGTGTGTGGCAACAGTGGGAGGGCTTCTAGTGTCCTGGCCCCGCTGCTGGACCTCCTGATGGCACCTGGTGTTTTTGGCCACTGTGTGACACAGAGTGTTGGACTGGATAGGCCACTGGCCTGATCCAGCATTGGCTTCTCTTATGTTCTTATGCTCATAGTATGCTCATAAAAGACTGAACCTCTTACAGCATAACCCTGCACAGAGTTACTCCAGTCTGAGATGCCCAATGAAGTCAAGGGGCTTATACCGAGTAATTCTTCACAGGGATATACTGGTTTCCCTGAGCCATATCCCACCTCCGCTTTTGGGATGCTGTGTAATGAGGTGGAGAACAACAGGCTTCCCAAACTGTCTTCTGGGAAAGCCAGTCGCTCCTGGGTAGCTTAACGTGAGAAAGGCGTGAGACGGATCTCCCCGCCAGGCAGCCTCCTCACCAATCCCAGCCTCCCCCTGTAGCGTGCAGCTGCAACAGAGCATTGGCTGCGATCTCCCAGCACACTCCCAGTCGACAGTATGAGACTCGTCCGGCCTGGCACGTGCCCTGTGAATTGAATGTGCAACCCAGAACATTCCCAGAATGCTCTTGCAATCTGCACGGATGCTCCTCGGCGGATGAGTCAATGTGAAAAGTGTTCTCTGAAGCAGAAAGTTGTGGGGGGGGAGGGGAGACAGAACACACAGGTGTAGGGGATGGGCTGGTGGCTTGGGAACGCTTTCACACAGAGCAGTCAAAGCGCCACCAAGAATCCCTTACAGTAATGCCGCCGTGCTTCAAGCAGAGCAGATCTGTTTGGGGGGGGCGCATGAAGCAAACGTGCATTCACTTCCCAGCACAGCCCCTCACCTGCATCCTTTTGCATTAAAAAATAGTGTGACAGTTGTTCATGAAAGAGAGGCGAGTTCAAAGGTGCGCTGAAGGCAAAATACATGTGGCACTGGAGATTTATTACTGTATCGCCAGTGCGCGTTTTACCCAGACCAAAGCCCTGAAGGAAACCAAACAGGGGTGCCAGCCACTGGAGGGACCTGGGGGGGATCCCCTGGAATTGCAGCTCATCTCCACACTACTGAGACCTGTTCCCCAGAGAAAATATATGCTTTGGGGGGTGATCTCTAGGGCACATTGTACCCCACTGAGGCCCCTGTCCTCCCCAGGCTCCACCCCCAAATCTCCAAGAGTTTCCCAACCTAAGTCTGACAATCCTACCCTCCATCAGTGGCCAGAGAGAAGAAAAAGAAAAAGAGATTGGATTTATGCCCCACCCCTTCAGTTGGAGTCTCAGAGCAGCTTACAGTCTCCTTTCCCTTCCCCTCCCCACAACAGACACCCTGTGAGGTGGGTGGGGCTGAGAGAGCTCTTTTGACGAGTGAGAGAACAGCTCTGAAGGAACTTGTGACTGACCCAAAGTGACACCAGCAGCTGCACGTGGAGGAGTGGGGAATCAAACCCGGTTCTCCCAGATTAGAGTCTACGCTCTTAACCACTACACCAAACTGGTGTAACCCTAAGCACAGTCCAGAGGGGACCACAGGAATACAGAAGGATGTTGTAAACTCTCCCCATGCCATTTCCCTGATCGAAAATCTCCCCCCCCTCCAATTCTTTAAACCTAGTACTGTGGGGGGACTGGGGTGCATACTATCCGAGGGGCTGAAAGTAGACCAGAGTAAGCAGTGATCCCTCTAAGCTGTGGAGTCTTGTGAGCAAAAATTCTCCTTTCTGAGCTACTGGCATTAAAGTTGTGAACCAGCGATTTGGCTACTGCATGAATCAGTTTGCTCTGGAGCCCTCCTTCCTGAGCAAAGACAAAAATGTGTGAGCCGGAGGCTAAAAAACAGTGAGCTAGCTCACACTAACTCATCTTAGAGAGAACAAGCATTTTTGATCAGGAAACTGGCAGGCACAGGAAAGAGTCTGGCCATGCCCCCTCCCCAGTCAGAGATCCCCACCCTCACCTGCAGCCTCCCACCCACTGCAGCCGACGCAGGGACTGACACAAGAACTAATGACGACAACCACGTGTGAAGAAGACGGTGCAAATCTAACACACTATGAGCTTGCCTAACGCCATGCACCACCTCACCCGTTCATCTGAGCTGCCAGTCCCTCTGTGCACAAGTCATCCAACAGTCGTGCCACACACACACCCCAAGCCATCTTTTGGAAACAGGTTCTGTCAAATCCACGCTACAAGCAGATGACCTTGAGTTAAGTCGCCCTTCCTCAGCTTCAGTTTGCAGAGCTGCTGGTGGGGAGGGGGGGAGAGCACAGCCTCGCTACCTAGTCCACATACATCACCAACCTACAGCGCACATTTATCAGTCTCCTGTCCTTTACCAGTTTGGTAGCCATTTACGGCCCATCGGTGGCCTGAACCATCGGCCTAAGCCTAATAAGCCTGGTCGTCTAGGGGGGATTCGAACGCACAACGGGTGACCCATCAGGTGGCAATTTACAAGCCTAGAGTTAAAAAAACAACCACACCTTGCACAGATGAGAAATGAAATGTCCGAGAAAAGGAATAATCCAGAGAAATGAACCATTACGATGCTTAGTATTCACAACAGCTCTTTGGCCACAGGTTTCACAATTATTTCCATAAGTCTTACAAACGACACTGCAGGAAGAGGCCAGATTTATGAGGATCTTCTGTCCACAAACCAGAGACCTGAAGATGCCAGAGGCAGCGACTCCCTTTGGGTCATCCAGAGATTTCACGGTGGAGAAATCATTCGCGACTGGATGCCTTCTGGCCGAGGGCTCTTACTGCTCCACTGGCTGCTGCTGCACTAAGCCTTTTGGAAGCCCCTCGCCTCCTCAGCGGAGCCCTGGGTCTCATCTTTTCCAGGCCTCTCCAATTCCTCCAAAGCCCTGTCCTGCCACTGGCCCTCCCCGATCCCATTAGATGGGAACCAACAACAGATCATGTCCTTCCTTCCCTCCTGACTCTCGGAAAAGGACTCCTGTCACTAGAGGGTCAAGACACCATCCAAGCCTGCAACCACCATCACAGGTGCCCCCACTGCACATTAACGGTGCCACCCTAAGCAGGGTGACCCCCTCTAAGTCCACTGAAGTGGGCGTAACTCTGCTTCGGACGACACCGTCAGTTGTCCGTCTTCCAGCAGACAGGAAAAAAATTCTCGGCTTGGTCCCTGTGCCATCCACGTTTCCCATCTTCCCTTGCAGTGGAGCGGAAGAGGCCCCTCCCCCTTTGGGTCTCTCCCCTGTCTCTGAATGTCCAGCTCCAACAACACTTTGTCCATAGGGACCCCTACCCATCCAGGTCATGGAACCATAGAGCTGAAACGGACCTCCGAGGTCATCTAGTCCAACCCCCTGCAAAATGCAGGAAATTCACCAATACCTCCCACACACCCAACCACAGTGACCCCTGCTCCATGCCCAGAAGATGGGGGAAGGAAACCCCTCCAGGACCCCAGGTCAAACCGGCCTGGAGAAAAATTGCTTCCTGACCCCAAAGTGCTCCCCCAAGTCAGACGATCCCAGAGGCCCCAGGTGGGGAGACAGGAGTCCCACCCCAGTGCTGGATCTCAAGCTTGCTTGGGAACCAGCCTCTTGTGTTCAGATCCAAGAAAGCGGAGTAGGAGGGAAGACAGGCTCAAGGCTTTGGACAGCACCAGGTGCTGGGTGTGAATCCTAACACACACACAGACCCCACACCCACTCAACTCCGTTCTGTGCCCTGCGCCATTCGAGCGGGGCAGCCTCCCCCTGGCTCCCTTCTCTCCTCCCCCGTGCCCTCCTACCTGCGCCGCAGCCATGCCCGTGGGGCGCGGTGGGCTCGCCGGCCAGTCTCTCCAGCAGCCTCTCCAGCAGGCGCTCGGGGCTCTCGGGCTCGGCCAGCGGCGCCCAGCAGCAGGTGGGCACGGCCTCCGGGCTGAGCTGGCTCTCGCCCCCTCCGCTGCCGTTGCCGCCGCCGCCGCCGGCGGGCGAGAGCTCCTCGGAGGAGAAGGAGGTGGGCGAGCGCAGGGCGGCCTCGGGGGGCCGCAGCTCCAGCCAGCACCCGTCGCCCTCCGGGCCCGCCTCCAGGGGCTCGTCCTTGAGGAAGCCGGGCAGCAGGATCTTGGAGACGCTGGGCCGCCGGCTCAGCTGCCCGCCCCCGCCGCCCCCGCCCGCCCCGGG